CGGATGGATCGTGCTTCGGACGTGGGGGGCTGCGGAGGAGGGGGAGGTGGATGCTGGCCGAGGTTGAGGATAGGTTGGCTGGGAGTAGTGCTGAGAGGAGGACGCAGAGAGAGAGGGAGAAACGTCGGTAGATGGGGCAATTGCGCCGGTAACGACGTCGCAAAGCCAGTCTGCCATTCCACCGGGGGTAGCGTCCACAGCTGTATGCGGCGAGTACACGCTGATGCCATCCGAGGCGAGCCGCAGCAGCGTCTGTTGCTGTGTGTCATTGAGAGTGAGGGACTTCAGTCCTCGAAAGATGATGGGGTCTTCGTCGCAAAAAAATTGGTTAGCAAATATGCTGGTAGCCAGTAGAGGATGTCGGTACAATGCATACGGTAGGCCACAACCACTGAATCCTTCCGCTTGATAGCTTCATCTGCCACAGCCTTTGTGAGGTCAATGGTCAGAAGCACAGAATTCTTCTGCCGCCGAGCGGGATGGAAGGGAGCTTCAAGAAGCACTGGGTGAGAATTGTATGAGCAGTTGGAACACTATGACATAATACAGGCAATCTTATCTCACAGCCAGTGTTGTCAAAGCTCTTGTCTGCTAATGACTCCGGATAGCTGTAGCAGAGTTAGCAAAAAAGCAATTGAGAAGAAACCGCCAGTGACGGTAGGATGAAGGTGCAAGCATACAGCTTCTTCATGGAGCTCACAACCGCCCGAGTGAAAGGTGACGAGGTGGTCGACATTGTTGAGAGTCGGCGCAGTGCTACTCGGGAGAGAGAACTCATGAAAGGTTGCAATAATATTCAGCAAGTAATGTTGCTCAACAGCATATGTATGTCTTTGAAAGAAAATCATAGCAGAAGGTAAACCCCAAACGATAAGAGAGGGGATAGCTTGCGCCACGCCGATAGATACACACCAGCCACACCATGCAGGTGATTAGATACCTAAAACCCAGCGTGCAAACTAGTCAAGCCACATACTGTAATTTACGCCGTCACACATTCCCGCCCGGATTCCGTCATTCATCTTCCGCGGATTGATAATATCTGATCAACTGCTTCAGTATCACTTATCAGTTTTCTAAGCTGTTTGCTAAATCTATTAGTTACACATCAACGCCTTGGCTTGGGCATCAGAGGAAGACCCCCGCTGACCCCTCTATTACTTAAAGCCTGATAGCCGCGCTTGATGTACTCCCGCACCACCACTTTGTTAAGCAGAAGCTGCCGGTACCTTCTCCGCACCCCCATTCACCAAAACTCGCCCTTTTCGATTACTGCACGCTCCTTCGCGGCTATCAACGCAGCAATGGCGGACGCAACGTCGAGTGTGACGCCGGAGCTACTGAAGAGTAAACTGGTTGAACAACTTCAGGCGCAGGTTGTGGAGATTGAGGATTTGTCTGGTGTGTAAAGTCTGCGACGCTGGCCTGTAGTACGGATATACTTGACTGAGGGGTGTCTAACTTCTTTTTTCCTCTGCCATAGGTGGCTGCGGACAGGCTTTCCAGGCGATTATTGTTTCTCCGCAGTTTGAGAAGAAGAACATGCTTGCGCGCCATCGGTTGGTGAACTCGGTCTTGAAGTCGGAGATTGCTGCTATCCACGCCTGGACACCCAAGTGTTACACCCCCGAGCAATGGCAGGCCCTGCAGCAAGGAAGCGCTTGAATCGGCAATATACTAAGATTATGACTATGTCGCTTGGACTAGGGGCGAGTTAGGTCGATTGAAACGTTGTATATTCCAGATGCCCTTATCGCATTTGGGTATCGAACAATCAGGCGCTAGGAGGATATCTGGGATACATCGCCTCTGACTATAGACTACATGATGGGGATCACCATCGTACCATCAACAGGATAACCCCAAAATCACAGTATGAATTTTGATACCTACGTTTAGCCCAACACCTTCTCTGCCGCCGAGACTACATTCCATGTGTTAGTAGATTTTCTGGCAGCCAAGAAAATAGTAGGAACTATGCATACCGTTGACACCGGTGTTATCGGGCTCAATATAAGCCTCCTTAACCTTTCCATCCTCAACGACAAGCGCATAGCGCTTGCTTCTGTGGTTCCCAAAGATTGAGCTGCTGTCGAAGGTGACGTCGAGCGCCTCCGAGAACTTGCCGGTCGGGTCGCCCAGAAAGCGGATCTATCCTCCTCTTTAGCGTCCATTGATTTGTAGATTCGCAGTGTCATGGGGAAGACTTACACCACTCTTGCCGGTGGCATCAAGGGAAACGCCCCAGGCCTTCATCCTATTATGACTCGGTAAGCTGCGGTCACTGAAAACCCCAGGCATGGAGGCTCCTTAACGATCAACCATCGGCGACTTACACAAAGGGGTCATTGACCGACACCACGAAGACCTGGCCGGCTTCCTTGAGCTTGGGGTGGTTGATATATCCAGGCACGTGAGAGCTAGAGCAAGCGGGGCCTTTCATTCGAGTGAATTAGCATTTGTCTTTTTCTGTCACTGATGTCGCGTCGGATTGGATGCTTATGAGACGGAGGGCTTCAAGGCTGGGGGCCGCAAACGTACTGAAAGCAGCAGGGACACCGATAATGATCCCCTTTCCCTTGAGCTCCTTCGCAAGATTGACTTTGTTTCCAGGTGAACTCTCGACCAGCACGTCAAGATCTGGCACGGCGTCTCCCTTTTGGACGAAGGCTGGAGCGGTGCTGTGAAACAGCGCCCTCCGGGGCACGGCGCGAGGGGCGCTGGTAGCGAGGCGACGGGCAGCGAACATCTTTATGAGAAGACGAACTGTTGAGCTCAAAATGTGCTTAGCAGCGGCTATGAAATATGTAAATATGCCAATTTAATTGACAGATAATGGTCCTTGAGATAGAGGATGAAGCGATGGATGCGTAGGAAGGTTTGTGTACCTGGCGCGTCGTTGGGGCTAGAGAGCATGGCCGAGGCGCTTCACTGCTTGGACGTATTTCGTCATGGACTCCTCTCTGCTGGTATGGCAGCATGGGGAGCCATGTAATTTTCCCATCAGCACTTTATTCGATACAAAATGTAATTGATGACTGTCATAGATATTCCAGTGCATCTGCTTGCCTTTTCCTACTACTGTAAGGTATAGTCAAGTCATGAGGAGATTCCGGCGGTTCCAGGGTCTTGGTTAATGTACAGTCAAGACGAGCCTAGATCTGCAATACATTCCATTATGGCATAACCTGATCTAATTTCTATCTAGGCACAGACAGTTAAGTAAACTTCAATAATAATTGATACTCTGAACTGAATGGTTGGTGAACGGGGTACTTAGTAACTTAGTCTTAAGAATTGACTGCTGAGGAGGAACTGACATCTTGGCTTGTATTTTCCATTCAATTAAGTCAGATCTTCAACAACAGTCAGTGTGGCAGCTTTTTGAATGAAAGGGATTCAGACCCCTGACCATACTCACTATCTGCTTCTTCAAATTGTTCTCCCGAATGCCAACTACCTTAGGATTAGGGTGATCTGCTGATGTGGCGCACTGCTCCCTGAAACCCAGGTCTGACCGAACCTCATCAGTCATATGTATGTGTCCACAATAAAGGATATGTAAGAATCATAGGAGTACTCCTAAACCAAAATAAAGTCGAACATTCCAAGGGTTCTTGGACATTTCATCTCTCTTGCCCCCAAAGCTACCTCCATGTCGGTTGTTCCCACCCACGTTCCGCGAGGGATCTGCATGAAACCAGCAATCCCCAAACCTATTCATTAATTCATTAAAGGTGAACAAATATTGGTGCGGGTAGAATATCCGCTATGTGTCTAATCCTCGACAGTTTGACTGGAGTATTAATCCACCTGCCTTATGATACCCTGTGGAACTCTACATAACTTCTGGGGTCTTTCGCCTACATACTTTCGTAGACCACAGGAAAAATATCTGCATCAAGTTGCAATCAATACCTTTGATGACTGAATAAGGGCAAAACTATCTAATATGTGATTGACCGTTTCCTCATATTGTGGAAGAGCGTCAGGACCCAAGAGCTAGGACGATCATAATGCATTAGGTTTCCCCTCCACCATCATCATCCGCCTATCCTCATCAATACTCCAGGGTCATAACGTCTTCCCCTCCATTGTTGTTGCTTTCTGTCTGCATCTAAATGCGCACTGACATTACTAACTTCCATGATGCTTGCATACTGTAGAGAGGTAGTCACGTTGGGTTTCATAATAATACTGCGCAAGAGACACAGTATCTAATAAATAATATCAAGTTAGCAACTCACAGGCTTTATAATTGAAAATGTTATGTTGCTTTGCATAAGCATGTGTGCTATTTTTTCCTTCACTGTGGATTTTTTTTTTTTTTGGATTTTTCATACCTGATTTTGTCATTTCCCCCCCTTCCTCAATACCTAAGGTAGTAGATTACCTCTTGGGTCCCCACTGTTATTCCCAAGGACCGGTAGTATGATATTTCATTGCCCTCTCGTTCTTATCCCCTCATTTCTGTCTCTCCTTGCATTTATTAGTTTTAGGGAAAAGGGAAGTCTAAACAGACAGTTCACTGATCATGTTGCGTTCTACCTATTAATCAGAAGTAAAGATAATATAATCAGGTCTTATTAGTCTACTAGTTAGAACGAAAGACCGTGGAAAAGTGGTTCCCACAGCTCTTTGTGCACGAACCGCGGAAGAACAGTTATTCAACTCCAACAACAGCTAATCGTCCCACTTATCACCACGAACCAACTAATCAATTTATTCCTACCTAAAACTACTGCCGTTGCTAAATGCTAACACCACCACCTTTTTCAACTACTAAACTACCTACTATTCAACTACCTTGACCTCTACCAATTTCCTGAACAATTCCTTTTTCTTTCTCTTCTCTATTATTCCACAGCGGCACCTTTTCTATCCGCATCTCGGCGCACATTATAGCGCGATCTTCATTATCTCCCGCCCGTTCTTCTCAAAGAGCTGCGACTTGGTGAGCTTGTTGCTTGTTCGATCGGTCGCGACCCATCTAGCCCACGATGGAGGGTGGCCAGACCACGACCAACACCGCCCCCGCTGGTAACTCCAGCGATTTTGTAAGTGTTGACCCTGGAAGATGAAGATTTTCTTTTTAGGAGATATTGAGCTGCATGATAATTATCTCTGCTGTTCCGAGGCTAACAAGATGTACAACAGGTGCGGAAACTGTACAAGTGAGTTCTCCTTTTTCGATTCTTCCGGGGGAAAATCTAGTGCTCTGCCTTGGCTTCGTCGTCCCCCTCCCTTTGTCTCGACTTCGACCGGTTAATCGCCAGGATGGATCGCATACCTTGTGGAATGTTTCTAACTGGTTCATTTGTTGCACAAGAATGTTGGAAGACCCTTCGTACTCGGAAATCGTTCGCTGGGGCGACGAAGGGGATAGTTTCGTTGTTCTCGAGGTCGGTAGCTTCTTCCGCCTGTTCCCGTACAGTCCGTCGGTGTGTCCGCTGTCGAAACTTCCAAGCTGACCGTGTTGCCTTATCGCAGTGCGAGAAATTCACCAAGACCATCCTTCCCAAACACTTCAAACACAGCAACTTTGCCAGTTTTGTGCGGCAGTTGAATAAATACGACTTCCATAAGGTCCGACAAAACAACGAAGAAAATGGACAATCGCCTTATGGACAAAACGTAAGGCTTCTTCGCTCGATTCAAGCGGAACAAATTCTGACAACAGATAGGCATGGGAGTTCAAACACCCGGAATTCAGAGCGAACAGCAAGGAATCACTTGATAATATCCGACGAAAGGCGCCGGCGCCTCGAAAGCAGACTCAGAACACCGACGAATCAGTTCCCACACAACAGATCGATCTTCTGAACCAGCAGATCGTAGCGCAGCAGCAGCAGATCCAGCACCTTTCCGATAGATACGCGCAGTTGACTGTTGATCATCAGCTCATGTTGCAGGAGCTGATGAGAGTTCAGAAGACAGTTCTGAACCATGAAAATGTCATTCACCAGGTGATGAATTATTTGCTATCAGTAGATGCTCGCCAAAGGCGCGATAACAAAACGGCAGCAACCTTCCAAGCTCAAGGGCAAGGCGGTTCAAACGTGAATGGGGGACAGGTAGACGATGTGCCTTCCTCTCCCTTGCAGCATGCATCGAAGCTACTGAGTAACATGAACGCCGAGGTCCAATTCAATTTGGCTGGCATTGAGTCGGTGGGCGAACCCTCGAAATCCGCCCCTGTTGTTTCCACCCCTGCACTAGAGGCTGGGCCGCGAAATGGGGTAGTGCGCCCGCCTACAGCGGCAGGTGCAAATCCCACCAACCTTTTATATCAAAAGATGAACAGCGACATTGAGCCAGTTGTCTATCCTGTTGGTGCTACCAATGGAATTGATCCAATGTACAGTGAGCATGTGAACAATTTGCCGTATCCTATGCCTCCAAAACAGGAAGTGGACGACACTCGCCGACAAGTTCCCGACAATCGAAAGAAGAGCACAAATGTCGATCCTGGATGGGTACGCAGCCCACACATTCTACTGGTGGAAGATGATGCAACATGTCGCCAAATTGGTGGTAAATTTCTCTATTCTTTTTCTTGTGTTATTGACACTGCGGTCGGTTCTCCTCTCTTCCCGTATGGATGCAAGGCAACTGACAGTCTTGCAGTTTGACGGACTGGAAGCGGTGAACAAGATTCAGGATGGATCGAAATACGATCTGATTCTGATGGATATCATCATGCCAAATCTTGATGGGGTTTCTGCATGTCACCTTATCCGCCAATTTGACCGAACTCCTATCATCGCTATGACCTCCAACATTAGAAGCGATGATATTCAGCTCTACTTCCAACATGGTACGTAGTCCTTCAATCCCAAAGACTGACGTTTTGTTACTAACGCGCAGTAGGCATGGACGATGTGCTACCGAAGCCTTTCACACGGAAGAGCCTCTTGGACATGCTTGAGAAGCATTTGGTTCATTTGAAGACCATTCCGCAAGGCATGGAGACTTCGCAACCCACGGCAACAGTCGCAATGGCTGCTCAAACTTCGGCAACCCACTCTGTCAAGGAAGACAGCTCCCCTGGCCAATCACCAGCCACGTCAATGAATAATTGGCAGTCTCCTGGCCAGTTCCAAGGCCTCCTTCAACATGTTCAACCCCAATATGTCCCTGCGACCGCGGCCCCAGCCGCCTACGCCGTGGACCAGAATGGAGTGCAATACCCGGCGCCTCCAGTGGCACTCACTGCCGCTGCTGCGGCTGCGCGGCCGCCTCATCGACGGCAGATATCCGAACTGTCTAGCGCCGCGGATAATTCAAATTTTGCGAAGCGACCGCGCATGTACGCTCAACCATCACAGCCGATGGTCAACCCGGCTCAGGCTACCCGAACTGGCTAAGCTGAGAACAATCCGTCACTTTAAACGAACGCTTCTCGGTCTATGCCAACTTTATCTCAACCCCCGCTCCTCCCACCTCTGCCTCCATCATACAACGGATTTTTGGCCACTTTCTGCGCAATATATTGTGAAAGTTGCTCTTGTATTGACGATCATTACCTCGGTATTTCTGCTTTTTTTTTGCGTCCTTTGTCAATTGGCGACTACGGCGTTTGCGGTGTTTAGGTCCTTTGCATTGATTGCAAACACTATAATAGGCGCATCCATTCACCATTGCGTAGTGATTCGACGAAAGGGAGTGGAATGGGCTTTTGCAAGCGATGCATCAAATCACTGTCGGAGCTCTTACGGAGGTGGAAGATGAGGGGGCGCTGTGTAGCATCGGCTGTTCTCCCATCATCGGTGCATTACTTTTACCTTCACCTGTTGATACTTGGTTCTGTAATGTCTTTCTTTATTATAAACTCTTGTTTTGCATGGAAGGGTGAGTGAGGTGCGATTTTCTGGCCAGTGATGCTCTAGGATAATCCTAGGGCTTTTGCTCGGGTATTGAGTGTGTCTGGCAACATTCCTTCATCATGTCATTTACATTGGGAACAGCTTATTAGAAGATACGCACATATTAAAATTATTTCAGTACGCTCTGACTCTGGTCATTTCATTTAAAAGTAATGGTGCTTTCAGTGGTTGAGATTCCCGCTAAGTCCAAATCTCGGAGACAGTCAACGGTAAAGACGGCTACGTCCGCTTCAAAAGATCGAGAGTTCGTCAACCCCCCCTTCCCTACCTTATCTAGACTGATCTCTTGCAATCTCCACGTTGACGCAAATCAATTAACATGGTTCTAGACCGCTGACCCCTTGACGGGGGAATCTCCCTGAGTCCAGGAGGGCCCAGGCCTTTTGGATGAAGTTCTGGACTTTTCGAGGCTGGAGACACAGAAGATGTGGCTTGCGCGATCAAGAAGGGAAGTCACGTGAATACAAACAGTACAAACATTGTCCCTGACCGCCCTGAGTGGAAGTGGGATGGGATGACTCCTCGCATCGGGCTTGGCACAATTTTTGTGGACGAAAGCTTAGTGGGCGGTACTTGCGAGCTTTGGGCGCCGTCGCTGACAGAGAAACTTGAGAACCGTTAACTTGATCTGCATATTGACTAGCTGCTTCGCACACTGGCTCTAGTCTCGGCAATTCAAAGCCTGGACTATTTGGCGTTTTCATCATTCTGGAAGCGGGGTGCAAATTGAGCTAAATTATCAATGTGAGTGCGGAATGCTTCAGATTACACGCAGCTGGCTCTAACCGCTTTCTTCTGCCAGATGGGTCCCAAAAAAGGCGGCGGTGGCCAAGCGAAGCAGAGGGGCAATGCGACTGAGGAGGTTGAGGAGACATTGCAGGCTGTGGTATGTTCATTGTATGCGGAGCAGCCAGCGCACTGGCACTGCCGTTCGCTAGATGATGGGACGACGATGGCTGATAGTGTGCTTCGGTGCTCTCTAGGTTCTTGCCGATACTTTCGAAACCAGATTCGAGCCCTTTACCCTTGAGAAGCCTCGTGTATGTTGTCCGTCATTGAACCATCTCGTGAAGGAGGATGCGATTCGGAAACTTGCCTTGCCAGAGGGATCTTTTCTCGGTAGCTGACGTGGAGTACAATAGTGCCTCTTGCCGCTTGCGAATACGCCGTTGATTGAGTACACTTTCGAGTTTTTGGCTAATGCCGGCGTCGAGGAGGTTTTTCTTTACGGAGGGGCTCATTCAGATCAATTAGAGAGATACATCAAGTATGTTGATATCGGCTTTGCTTAAAGGATGTTGGCTGACCGTCGGAATCTGCTGAAGTGCATCGAAATGGAGAAGCAACTCGTCGCCTTTCAAGCAATTGACTTTCCTCAAGTCAACGTCGACTTCAGTTGGAGATGTTATGCGCGATCTTGATGGCAAACACCTCATAACTGGCGACTTCATTGTTGTCAGCGGTGATGTGATCAGTAACCTGCCTATTGAGGGTGCACTGGCGACTCACCGTGCCCGCCGCCAAGCAGACAAGAATGCAATCATGACTATGATTCTGCGCGAGGCTGGTCGAAACCATCGCACAAAGTCGTCCTCCGTGTCCCCTGTATTCGTCCTTGATCCCACCAAAGATCGTTGTTTGCACTATGAGGAAATTGAGCATCATTCCGACGAATCATCTCGCCTGACTATCGACACCGAGCTTATTTCATCTCATGCGGAGATCGATATTCGACAAGATCTGATTGACTGCAACATTGATATCTGTACGCCTGACGTGTTGAGTTTGTGGTCCGATAGTTTCGATTATCAGTCTCCGCGAAAGCATTTCTTGTTCGGTGTGCTCAAAGACTATGAGCTTAACGGCAAAACCATCCACACGCACATCATCAAGGATCACTACGCAGCTCGAGTGAGGAATCTGAAAGCATATGACGCAGTGAGCAAGGATATTATCTCCAGATGGACGTATCCACTGTGCCCGGACACAAACTTGCTCCCGGGACACACCTACGATCTCCGCAAGGGCAATCTGTACGCAGAACAGGGCGTTACTTTGGCGCGTTCATGTGTCGTTGGGCGGCGAACTGTCATCGGGAAAGGCACAAGCATAGGTGACAAGACGACAGTCAAGAACACAGTTCTTGGAAGGGACTGCAAGATTGGAAAAAACGTTACACTGGACGGCGCCTATATTTGGGATGGTGTGGTGATTGGCGACGGCACAACGGTTCGGCAGGCTATTATTGCCGATAAGGTTGTGGTCGGCAATAATTGCAGTGTTGAGCCTGGCGCCCTTCTCTCATATGAAGTCAAAATCGCTGATGGTGTGACTGTGAGCGAAGGCAGAAGGATCACAAAGGCCTCGAGAGAGGAATCCGGGGGACTACCAGCGAATGATCCGGATGTGGTCGGTGAAGGAGGCGAAGGTTACGAATATTTCCATGAGGAAGAGGAAGACGAGGACGAAGACGACACTGTATCCAATGCTTCGTCAGGACTTGGTACGCACCTTCCCTTATACTCTACAGGCTCCTCCTCATCACCACCTTTGAATGAGTGTCGAGTACTAATATCTCTTCAGTGTACAACATGGCGCAGCTCTCTCTTTCTACGGAGTCTATCTCTACCCTGTCGTCTGAGATTTCTCATTTCGGCGGATCTCGATCCGAGAGCTTTGGTACTTCGTACTCTGAAGATGAGGATGCGGACCATTTCGTCCATGACGCTGCAGCCAGTGTCTATGACAGCTTGAAAGACGGTGTCACATCTGACGTTGTGCAGTTGGAATTGGTCAGTTTGCGGATGACTGCGAATGCCTCCGACCACCAGCTCCGACGAGCTGTTGTCACGGCCTTCATGAAGCGAACCCAGCAACTGATCGAAGGAGGAAAAGGTGCTGGTGAAGGCGTTCGGGACATTTTCGGCACATATCGCGAGGTTGTTGAGCGGTGTATGTTCGATCGAGACAGCGACGAGAAAACCGACCAGGTCGACTTCTTACTCCTGCTCCAACAGGATCTTGTACATCGGCCTCGCGGCGAGACAGTCCTACTGTTCGCTGCTAAGGAGCTGTACGATTTGGAGCTCTTCGAGGAGGAAGCCTATGAGCAATGGTGGGCCGATGAGCGGTCCAGTGCCAGCGAAGAGATGAGGCAGGTGCGGAGTCAGACACAACAGTTTGTTGACTGGCTCGCAAATGCTGAGGAAGAGGAGAGCGAGGAAGAGAGCGATGAGGACTGAAGCCGAGGTCAAGCACTACGTAGCGATGCCCTTGGAAAAGAGGGGGCAAGCAGGAACGAGTTTTGCGTTATCAGGCAGTATCAACATAGACGAGCAAGTTATGATATCCATTGATGGGCCATATATAATTTCATGATCAAGATCCGATGCGTTGTTATGTACCAATCTTCTATCTACGGACAGAGTTGATTTCGAATTGAGCATCGTTGCCTGGCTGCCTAAGACTAGTAGCCTGAAAATGGCTCCAAGGTGTCTATTTAAGTACCAAATTATTTAGCCTGAGCCGAAGAACCTGCAACATACATTTCTTTTGCATTGAATCTCTAGCAGTCACTCTCTTCACGCTGTGACTCATAACTTCTATCTTTCATTAGTTCTAACCCATACTTGAAGCTGTCTGTATTGAGCCTTTTCACTGATGCACTGACATCATTGCTTCTCCCATTCCCCGTGGACCCAGTCAGCTGGGCATCGATATTTAAGCAGGCGCTGCAAGATATACTGAGAATACCCAAAGAGCCCCAGAAGATCCAAGGAAAGCAGATGAAGACCTCGAAGGATATCAAACGGTAGGCTAGTTAATTGTTGAGCCTATTGAGGCGTACTTCTGATTTCTCCCCACAGTGGGTGTGGTCTTCCCGCAATTGCCAGCGGAGTCATCCGAACAAGATTTCCTCCCTTATGACTGGGAGGCTTGCGATCTGTCGGATCGTACTCTAAGCCTCTGAGCCATCCCCAAGAATCTCACTTGTTTCCAACCCTTTAATTCACTCATACTACTCCACATGCCTCTGCAGGCTTCCCCTTGACACTGTCAGTCGGTTGAAACAATTAGTGATTGATGTCTTGGGTAACAGTGCACGCTTGCTTCTAAACGTTTTAGACGCCCCACTCCCGTGACGTCCAGCGATCATATGTGATAACTAATCACAGTCACCCCTCGCTCTCTTCCTTGACGCTGAACTCGATAAGCGACGCAACGACCCCGTTTGGTGCTAGTGCTGCATAGTTCCGTTTATCCCTCCATCGCTGTCGACACCATCTTCAGTTCCCTGGACTGAAAATAGTTATCCACTTTTTGTTGGTAAGCTGCGACTTGTGTTGTCCCGGAAAAGAAGAAGGCCTCGAGGTACAACATCGAGGCCTACTTTTTTTCTAGTCAGCACATATCGTCTTGCCAGAGGAATAGATCTTCACCACGCCTCCTCTAACGAGAAAAAGGAAGGCGGCCGAGGCGGCGATTACAGACCAGGAACCATCCATAACCGCCACCAAGGTTTCCGTCGCTGATTCGCGAACCGCCACCGGGATAATCTCGTCAAACAAGAGGACTACTCGCAGAAAGGACAAGCTCGCGGACCAAGATCCTGACACAGATTCGGTATCGGTGGCGTCTGCAAGCGTCCCTGTTCAGGACAAGCAAAAGGCAACCGATCTCGTCACGCCGGCTTCCACCAGCATGGATTCAGACGATGATTTTATGACGGATGCGTCCAGTGCGGATGACTTCTTGGATACACAGGGTAGTGATGATGAGAGTCTAGGAGAAGGTATGTTGCAGTAATCTTCCGTTTCGTACTTTGCTGACGCGGCCTTTTCTTCGGTCGCTAGAGTTCGGTGACGAGTTCGACGGCGGATTTTCTCAAGATAAGGATCTACTAGGGAACACAAAGAAGCCATATGAAGTCGACTTCAGAGTTCTGAGCCCAGAGGATATCGATCGGGAGCAGAGTCAGCAGGTCAACGAGGTCTCGCAGATTTTAGGCCTTCCACCAGAGTCGTCCTCTATTCTACTACGGTTTGGGAGATGGAACCGGGAGAAGCTCATAGAGTCCTACATGGATCATCCGGAGGAGACACTCGAGGAAGCTGGTCTTGGGACGAACTTTCATGGGACACCGAAGACAGAGGTTGTACCAGGGTTCATGTGTGACATTTGCTGTGAGGATGGCGACGATTTGGAGACATATGCTATGCGCTGCGGACATCGCTTCTGCGTTGACTGCTACCGACATTATCTCGCGCAGAAAATCCGCGAGGAGGGCGAAGCTGCGAGGATAGAATGTCCCGGGGATGGCTGCCATATGATTGTAGATTCAAAGTCCCTGAGTCTTCTCGTCACCGATGATCTCAAAGAGAGGTAAGTCTTCAGCCCAAGGATCGCCATGTCGGAATCCGTTATTGACGTTGGCCTTGCAGATACCAAACGCTGTTGATGCGGACTTATGTTGATGACAAAGAGAACCTTAAGTGGTGCCCGGCCCCAAACTGCGAGTACGCGGTCGACTGTCCCGTCAAGCAGCGCGACCTCAATCGGATCGTACCCACCGTGCAATGTGCCTGTAAGCATTTCTTTTGCTTCGGCTGCACGCTGAACGATCATTTACCGTCTCCCTGCACATTGGTCAAGATGTGGCTTAAGAAGTGTGAAGACGACTCAGAGACCGCCAACTGGATCTCGGCCAACACGAAGGAGTGTCCTAAGTGCCATTCGACGATCGAGAAGAACGGGGGTTGCAACCATATGACGTGCCGCAAATGCAAGCACGAGTTCTGCTGGATGTGCATGGGCCTGTGGTCTGAACACGGCACCAGCTGGTACAACTGTAATCGCTACGAAGAGAAGTCAGGGTCGGAAGCTCGTTCAGCGCAGGCGAAATCTCGAGCATCTCTTGAAAGATACTTGCATTACTACAACAGATACGCTAACCACGAGCAGTCGGCGAAGCTCGATAAAGATCTCTACCTCAAGACAGAAAAGAAGATGACAAGCCTACAATCTCAGTCTGGTCTATCATGGATCGAAGTTCAGTTCCTTGATACTGCATCTCAGGCACTTCAGCAGTGCCGACAGACTTTGAAGTGGACTTATGCCTTTGCATATTATCTTGCTCGAAACAACCTGACGGAAATCTTCGAGGACAACCAGAAAGATCTAGAGCTTGCGGTGGAGAGCCTTAGTGAAATGTTCGAGAAGCCGGTGCCTGAATTGGCCAATCTGAAAGTTGATATCTTGGACAAAACGGCTTATTGCAACAAACGCCGAGTGATCCTTCTTAGCGACACTGCCCAGAAATTGAAACAAGGTAAGCTCTCATTCATTACACAATGTTTGATACATGATATGATGCTGACATCTGTATCTCTTCAGGGGTATGGTCATTCAATGTTGAATGGTAGACTATATAGAGCCAACAGACACCCAGCTGTTCCAGATGTTGATATTTCAGTCAAAAGCTGGCAAACCGGCCAGATGCGAATGGGATTTTCATGACGTGAATGATGACAGCGCATATGATTTCTATTTCTGATTCATACAAGATCATTACATTTATCTGTTTACACCCGGTGTGACTGTCTTTACTGGAGTTAGCGAGGCAGTGACTCACTATTTTATTGTATCAGTTAGCAATGCATTATTTTCATTTCTCTTCATGTGATCAGTTGGACAATGGGTAGGGAGGAGTTAACTAAGAGTTTAAATCTACAGCTCCTGTATGCAGGAGGACAGAGTCAATATATACGAGGAAGTAGAAGGGTATAGCAATTATGAGCAATAGTTTGTAGATTGCATGCTACTTCTGGCTCTCGGAAATATCAAGAAAACCATTCTAAAGGGGTCGATGCTAGCTAGTGCTGATATTCCCTTAACAAGAGTAATGGTTCTTTCAAGGCAATGTTATCATGGTTACTGACCACTTGACTGGAGGTCCAAAATCTGATTAATGGGATCAGATAAGGACCTGAAGCTAACCAAGGACTTGGTATTAATATTTAGTAACATTAAACATTGGTTATTCGGTTTCCTCCGGGACTCGGAGGGTCCAGTGCTGATATTGATAAGATACTCCCGTATCTGCTTCGGGGTGGCGGACTAGAAAAGGGTTATGGGATGCTGGACAGGGAGAAGTTGACAGGGCTTTCCGGGAGAGAAATATGCGCTGACTGCATGAAAGAATCAGCTGCTGCTGTTGCCATTGTATCTTTCTTGGCCGTGCTTCTTGGATAGGATATTCGAGGTTTGTTTGAGTATCTACTTCTCTATACTACGTACTGAAGAAAAACTCCGTCATCGGAACCTCGGTGTAGTCTGGGCTCGGTGGATGATTAAGCAGCGGAGCCACGACCTCATTATTAGCAACTAATCACGATGGTGCGCCTGGCGACAGTAGTATATCGTGTCAGAGCTGTGTGTGCTAGATCTAGAGTAAAATGTCAGACATTTGGTCTTACCATCTTCAACCTTTAAGTAGGTCAGTAACGTCTCGTCGCTCGATTGATTTGGTCCGAGTTCTCTTGTATCCAATCCACCGGTGGAAACTCCGTAGCGACTTTAGCTCCGCGGCATTCGACTTTAGCGCAGCAAACGAAAAAGAATAATAATTTCCCCAACCTGGATTTTCCAGAAACATTGTCAGCCTCCCGATCGATCTGGTCCTACATACTCTAGTCTTCTCCTTTGCCTCACGCATTGGAATTCGTCTCTTATTGCTCTCGTTGATTGAATTCTACTTGAGGTCCATATCCGTTTCTCCTATCGTCGTCGACTCTTTTTGCGCCCAACTCGTTCCTGTTCGCCGCAGGCTCAATCCGACCGAGAATCGTCGCTACTGCCAAAGCCCGGCATATTGAAACGGACCTTCGGACAAGCTTGGGACACCCGTCTTCCTGGCCTCTCCTCTCCTCCTCTCAACCTCTTCCAATTTCGTGCGGCTCCGGCTGCGTCCGGAGCTATTTAGAGCTCAATGGCAATCCCCGAGCAGATCCCAGGGCAGGAATATGAGTATGTTGCTATATTCAGCACGGATTCCACCACTCCATACCTGCAACATTGTCGGTATCGCGAGGAGAAGGCGTTCTAAAGCTTACTTCTCGCGAGTCGACTTCCTCACCTTCAATCACACTGCCTGTTCCAACGACGCACTGCTAACCTCTATTCGACGATAGATACGAAGCCCTTCCCTCCAACTATGGCCTAGGCCGGAACATGTTGGCTGGTG